ATGAACATATTTGACCGTGATTTAATTGTAATACACATTTCAAAATGGTGCCAAGTAACTACATACTGATAACGGTTAGTAAAAACCATGAATTAACGCTTTGACAAGTCTGCAGACAGACGGCAGGCGAAAAGCTTTTAAAATGCGTGTTTTCTGAATGGAATCGGATCGATCAGGCTAAACTAACCTGTAGCTGCTCCGTCCACACTCACAACAACGTCATACAGACATAAATAAAGCAGCGAGTGTATTCGCCATGACATAGACAGTCTGTGGTTTGTACTTGTTTAACTTTTGTCCAGTTTCTGAACAGATATGAGGAGCAGTGAGCTCTGAGAGTGTGCTAACGGCTGATGTGTTGGGACATATTTCGCTGTCGGGTGTTGACCAATCACGAAGCGTCATTTCTTGACTGGCAGCAAAAACAACCAATCACAGCAGTGCTTCTCTGGCTGGCTCTGTCCAATCATAAACAAGAAGTGTTCTCCCTAAAGGAATACTCTTTCCGTCCAATGTGAAATGCTGTGGCGTTTTGTGAAATGCTGTGGTGTCTTGCACTTCAGGGCCACCGTAGAATTGCAAGAAAAAAACAATATGTATTGCAGCTCTTTTCACATGTGTGTGTTTTTATTTTTTTTGCTGTGTGTTAGGCTCGAGCACAAGTTCTAAAAGGTCTCATTGAACTAGGTTATTTTCGGAAACAACAACTGTATTTGTGCGTGTGACTCAGGTGGGTTTTCTGTTTAATTTCAGGTTCAAAATGTACCTATGACGGCCTCTAAAAGACAATACATTGCTGCCTCTGCTCTGGAAATGACACCCATCTGTCTCTTATTCCCTGTTTACTTACACACATTACAAATAATTCTACGTTGATCCAAACCAACCAGTGGCCACAATGTGAGAAGACCAACCTCAGAATCAAGGAGGACATTTGCAAGGAGTGTAAATGGAAAAACTGTTTGAGATAAATGTGGTTTATTGATGGTCTTACTGGGAAATATCATTTAGAAACTGATAAAAAGCTGATTGTGGTTCAGGCTGCGCAATAATTGTATCTGTTACTATGGTTACTGTGTCAAATTACACCATAAAGAGTGAAAAGCTACGTCTTATTAACGCTTGTCGTACGATAATTGCAAATTCATAGGAAAGACCGACTTCCAGGAACAACAAACTCTCATATGATATTGGGTGATGCTGTTGGAAAATCATGAAAAAAGGAAAAACTAAAATCATTGTGTCATCATCATGGAATCATCCATTACAACTGCAACTTGGTTATTACAACCTCTCAAATCAGTCATTACAACTTCACAAATCTGCTCTGTGGCAATATAAATCGACGAATCTGCGGGCCTTGACTTTTGCTACACTTCTTGTGATGAATGTGTTGCTAAAGTAATTTTCACCTGTAGATGTGGGGGGAGGGACGGTTCGACCTGACATGGCTGTGTGACTGACCAGAGTTTGCGTCTCGTCGTTCTGATAGCTCCGCCCCTTCGCTCCAACCCCCCTCCCTCCCTCCCCCACATCTACAGGTGAAAATTACTTTAGCGACACATTCATCGCAAGAAGTGTAGCAAAAGTCAAGGCCCGCAGATTCGTCGATTTATACTGCCACAGAGCAGATTTGTGAAGTTGTAATGACTGATTTGAGAGGTTGAAATAACCAAGCTGCAGTTGTAATGGAAAATATATTTTAAAAATACATATTTTTCTGCAAGTGAACATTTCATCAATAAGTTCATTTTTTTTCTACAAGCTACAACACTTTTTTTTTCTTCTGTGACTTCAAATTTGGTTCACAGATACGTGGATATTTTATACAAGTTTAAATGTATGCACACAAGCTCAGATTTTTTTTTATGCAATTGCTCACATCAGGTTTTTTAAGCTCTCGCATTTTGCACCATATCTACCTTCATAGACCAGGGGTATTCAACAACAATTCAACGAGGTCCAGTTAGAGAAAATCTTCCCATGCAAAGGTCCGGAACATCAAAATGTCTAACTTGCTTTATGAATTAGTGTGATATACAGTTGCAAGAAAAAGTATGTGAACCCTTTGGATTCTCCACACATAGCGTTGTGTGTTCCTTCCAAACAACTCAACTTTGGTTTAATCTGTCCACAGAATATGTTGCCAGTAGTGTTGTGGAACATCCAGGTGCTCTTTTGCAAACTTCAAATGTGCAGCAATGTTGTTTCTGGACAGCAGTGGCTTCCTCCGTGGTGTCCTCCCATGAAATCCATTCTTGTTCAGTGTTTTACGTATCGTAGATTCGTCAACAGAGATGTTAGCATGTGCCAGAGATTTCTTTAAGTCTCTAGCTGACACTCTAGGATTCTTCTTCACCTCATTGAGCATCCTGCGCAGTGCTCTTGCAGTCATCTTTACAGGACGGCCACTCCTAGGGAGAGTAGCAACAGTGCTGAACTTTCTCCATTTATAGACAATTTGTTTTACCGTGGACTGATGCACATCAAGGCTTTCAGAGATACTTTTGTAACCCTTTTATGCAAGTCAACAATTCTTAATGGTAGGTCTTCTGAGAGCTCTTTTGTGCGAGGCATGGTTCACATCTGGCAATGCTTCTTAAGAATAGCTCATTCAAAACTGGTGTGTATTTCTTATAGGGCAGGGCAGCTTTAACCAACACCTCCAATCTCGTCTCATTGATTGGACTCCAGGTTGGCTGACTCCTGACTCCAAGTAGCTCTTGAAGAAGTCTTTAGCCTAGGGGTTCACATACTTTTCCCACCCTGCACTGTGAATGTTTACATGGTGTGTTCAATAAAAACATGAAAACATATAATTGTTTGTGTGGTATTAGTTTAAGCAGACTGTGTTTGTCTATTGTTGTGACTTAGATGAAGATCAGAACACATTTTATGACCAACTTATGCAGAAATCCAGGTAATTCCAAAGGGTTCACATACTTTTTCTTGCAACTGTATATTGAAGTAGCTTTATCAACGTCTGCATGTAATCAACAACTGACTGCCAATCAAATAAAGAAAGTACAACTCAAAAACAACAATATTTATTATCAATTAACATTGAACTACACAGATATACAGTAAATACTGTGGATATGTGTAATGTTCCTCTCGGGCTGCATTTAAAAATAAAATAGAGGAAAAAAAATAGCTTTTGAAAATGTGTGCATCTTGAAAGTGCTTCATTTTAGATAAATAAAATAAAATGTAGCAGCAGCTTGAGTTTCCCTTTTTCTTTGTTAATCGTTTCACATCATGACTCAACTGTTTCGGCAGATTATAGAACATACCAGTCTTTACAATTGAACAGTTTTAAAGTTTCTCTTTCCTTCCCTCTTATATTCCAGACCGTGGTCCGCCTGTTAGTGAACTATGGTGTAGAACCAACCCAGTCTCACATCTAAACGTATAATAACTACGTTGGTCCACAACTTGGGACGTAGTATTTCTACAAAAACGCCTCTGAAATTGTAGGATCCCTACGTTTTTTTTCACCATTCACCATACACACATATTGATAGATGTCTTGTAATGCACTGTTGAGGAACCTGCGACCCAAGTTGTTCATTCATTGCATAACTACACTGTAGTTGTGTATATGATATGTCAATAAACCTTAGAACATCTTGAAATCTTGAAAGGGATGTGCAAAATAGTCATTATATACAGTCTTTAATGAACTATTAGTAGAGAATAACGAGTAATGAATATACTTTATAGGGATCCTATTAATATCTAATAATAAAAATAATGAAATTCAATAACGTGCTTTAACCACTAGGTGTCCCTTTCTATCAGCTGTGCACCTTTATGGTGTAAATACAGCCTATCTACCAATTGGATCAAATATAAAAGTCAGCCGAATTAGTGTTGATACTGCAAGGAGACGTATTGTGTGAAAAGAAATGTAAGATGTTGTTTAATGGCAGATATATTTATGATCCACGTCACGTTTTCAGTGTGGGCGGCAGTTCCTCATGTTTGTCTAGAAGTCTTCTCATCAGGGCTCTATAAATAGAGAACTACGGCAGATATGTAATATGTAATGCAGCCGAACCGTGTATTACAATGCCGTTATGGGATGACTTTCAAAGAGAAAAGCAAGCACACTCGGAATAAAGTATTTTTTTATTTTTTCGGATTTCACATCACATAAACACCATATCCCAACGTGCATTGCGGCTAAACCTTCCAATCACCGAGCTGAGGATCTTGCCTACGTCTGTTTCCGGTATTTGTCTATGACGATGTGCTGTGAGATGTGAGACTGGGTTGTAGAATTGCACAGGGGGAAATAACATATCTATGCCACAATTTCAGATGCGGATTTAGTTAAACTAATATGTTTGCGCTGTGGACCAACACTATACATTGACGGGGAAGGGGGTAGCAATAAAGATAACACCATTAAACAGTTACACAACATAACAGAAATAATATCGATAGCAGCGTCCCTAGCAACCACCTTGGTAACAATGAAAACGTTCTATTGGCGCAATTTCCTGAAGTACTCTTTGTAATAACTAGCAAACTAAAGATCATGTACATCCACTGCACACATAATCTGAAATAACAACTCATATTTCTCGCATCAAATGACATCAAAACGCATTTTAATGGCCAAACTAACCTTAAAATAGGCATTTTCCACCGAGAATAAAACGAAGGTCGGCCATGTTTTTTTTTTTACGCGGAGAGAAATTTGAAGATCACGTGACATAGACACCAGCCATTGGAAATGAATGGTGAAAAAAAACGTAGGGATCTTACAATTTCAGAGGCATTTTTTGTAGAAATATTACGTCCCAAGTTGTGGACCAACGTAGTTATTACACGTTTAGATGTGAGACTGGGTTGGTAGGACATATGCAGATTTCCACCAAATCCAAACTCACAGCTAAATAACACCCTCTACTTTTTGGAAGTAAAATGTACCATTGGTATTCAGCTTTATAGGTCTTGGTGTGTTTGGTGTTTGTGCTTGAGTGCTGCCTTACCACCAGTCTCACTGTCATGGTAGTTTGGATCGAAGCCTCTCTCCAGCAGCTTCAACACTTTGTCCACCTGATTATGTTGGATGAGGTCCATGAACTTCCTCAGATTGGCCTGTGCAACCAGAGAAAAGAAAGAGCTATTACACTGAGAAGAAGGAACAAATGGTGGTGGGAGTGAGAGATGAAAAAAGGCAGGAAAACGAGAATAGAAGTTGCCAAAGAAGGCAGTGTAGAGGGTCAAATATAAGTGAGACTGAAAAGTGTACATGTAAAGGAATACATTGAGAAACTAAGGTAGACTTATGCGTGAAGATAGAGGAATAAAAGGCGAGTGAAAGCATGAAGCAGAGGAGAGCAAGGTGACAGGATTCAGAGCGTGGAGCTGAGTTTGATGGCTGCTCCTTTCTGTTCCCGTCTGCTTTCTTTCCAGGCCGCATGATAAAAATAGATAACAGAGCAGCTCCCCGAAGGAGAGCAGAACATGAGGAATAAAGAGTGAGATAGCAGGAGAAAAAAATGGAAAGCAGAAATAAAAGAATAGACTGAGAAGAGAGGCACGTAATAAATGAGGAGTAAAAAGACAAGGACACGGGGTGGGTGTAGAATAACATATGAAGGGATGTCCTCTTCCCACCGTCCCATTGTGGTGCCCCAGATCCAAGTGAATCAGCCAATACACAGGAGAAGATATTCATTTCTTATTATCATTTTAGTTTCTAGCCTATACAGCTGGGTTGCACTCGTTCAGGGCCATTTTTGGGAGTATTTTAAAAGTGTTTGAATATGCAAGAACTGAAGAAAGTATTCCCAGTAGAACCTCAAAACAGGAAACATTTTTGTCAGTGAGATACCTTATCATTGTAGCTGGGTTTCAATAAAAGGCTATCATACCCTTAATGATATCCTTTCTAAATAACAGTGGTCAATTCTGATATACTTTTTAATATAGAAAAGGGATTCTGAGAGATTGCACAACACTTTATGCAAACAGGAAACAATAAGTCAATGTATTTTCTGGAACTCTGACTTGGTTTCCAGTTTGTAATTCTGGGCATTGTTTAAAGCTAACATTGTCTTAGAAACTTAAAATTATCGGAAAATAGGTCAGGATTTATTTAACCAATAATATATGCCGAACCTGGGTTTATTTATATCACTTCAAAGACATCCAGGCTTAGAGGATCTTCATTGCTTTCTAGAGTTTCATATCATTGATATCAGGACAGCAACTAAGTCGAAACATCATTTGTCACAGACTGAAAACCCACTTCAATGCCCCTTGGCCAATAAAACAAACCCCCAAAATCTCTAGGAAATGAAGTAGCACTTAAACAAATTGGATTCATAGATAGCGAAAGTACCTGCAGGATTCTTGCTTTTGAGTTTGTTTCTGGATGGTTGATCGCACGTATTGTAAATAGGTTTGGTTAAAAGGGTCAGCTAAATGGAATACATGTAAGTATGTCAATAGCCTGGTCCCAGACTTCTTAATATCGCTGATCATGACAAAATACCACCCCCCAAACTGATAACGGCTAACATATCATCAGCAGATTAAATGACCGTTATCTGTTCTTATCAGAAGTATAGATCTTATAGTTGTCAGAGTAGACCGTTATCATAGGTAAGCTGTATCAACGCAGGAAGGATCAAAAGTATTATGCGACGACCTCTAGTGGCCGTTATTAAGTATGACAGGAGCAAAGAAGAAATTAAGATACGCTTTCAGATTTGAACCAAAACAAGGATGTTATTCTGAACTAACCCAAGTAGTTTAGTGGCCTCAACCTAAACACATTGTTTTGTTTCAATGCACAGTTTTAATCACAAACATTTCACTTTCACAACATGAGGGTATTCAAACATCTGAAGCATTTTGTTGGTAGAAATAACAACCTTGTTTAATTGAATTTAATAAGCTGATAACTTCTGAAATTGTTGTTGAAATACAGAAGCAAAAACAAACTAAAGATTGACTACTGATCCTTTGTATAGCCAATACCAATCCACCAACTATTATAAGGTATTACAAGCTTAAAATGTTTTATTGGTTTAACACTTGTGGTTTTATACCTGAATTTCTTTTTATACCTGATGATCATTGTGTAATAGTTTAATGAAATCAGTTTCTGTTTAGATAACAGCCAAGATGAGTCACTGCCGGTTCAATATCTGGAAATGTCAGGGGTTCACGTACATGGCCCCGCGTTTCAAAGCAATGTTTTATTTAATCTAGCTGATATGTCCTGTGTGTGTGTGTGTGTGTATGTGTATGTGTGTGTGTGTGTGTGTGTGTGTGTGTGTGTGTGTGTGTGTGTGTGTGTGTGTGTGTGTGTGTGTGTGTGTGTGTGTGTCTGTGTCTGCAGGCCTAGTGAATCAGAGTCTGGAGGACGAAGCTTCCTCTCTCTCTCTCCTCTTCTCTCCCTCTACCTATCTCTTTCTGCTGAAATAGGTTGAGAGGATGGCGGTTGATTGGCTGTCTCAGCGTGAGTTTGAGCCAACCACTGAGCTCCAGACTGCAAAGCAAAGACATTTAGCTCCAAAAAGCTGGGTCAGGCCAAAACAAATAAGAAAGAAAGGACTCATCGTCAGAAGTTGGACTTATGACTTCTGCTCGTGTTCGCCATCTCTCCGCTCCACATTCACAACAACTTATTTGCCCTTTTCATTTTTCGTTTTGCAGTCCTCTCTGTAGATCTAGAGCAGCTGTCAGACAGTTTCCCAGTGAGCCGCTGACAGAGAGCTGCCAGAGTCACTTATGCTTTGGCTGCAGGATTTCAGAAACCATGGGACAGGAGCCCAGAACTAGCCTTACACAACGAAGAGGAGGCTAATAATCTTCTGTTCACTGTAGAGATGTACTTCATGTGGGAGAAACAGAGGAAAGGGAGGAGCCTTCTGTCGGGGCTGGCAGGAAAAAGAGACACTTCTTCTGAGCAGCGTTACATATATCATCAAAGAGGAACAGAAAACTGAAAATAAGCCCAAATTGGCAGGTAAGCTACACTGAGCTTGCAGTGTTTTCCCACCCATCACAAACTTCAAGCTGCCAAGAATGAAGGCAAACAGACACAAACTGCCTCTTTTCCCTAATCATCCAAAGAAGCTGCTTAATATTTAATGCAATCTGTGCGTTTTATTACATTTGTGTACCTCCAGTGTGAAAAGTTATTACTGTGGAGGTTTAACAATAGATTCCCAGTCAGGCAGATGTGGGCGGCACTGTGACATCCTTTTCTTTCATTTTAAAGTCTCCGCTGCTCATGCTCTCTCGACTGTTTTCCTTAACAGTGTGGAGAGAGGCAGAGTCTATAGCTTAGATAAGATAGAATAAGACAGGATAAGAAAAGATAAACCTTTATTAATCCCCATTGGGAAATTCAGAGCCTCCGAACAACTTCTGGAAGCGATATTCAGTATTTATGCTCCATAGTATATCAATTTAAATAAAATCCCTGAAAAGTGTCTTGAATTGAATCAAATCTTCTTCTAATTTCTGTTTTAAATTCAGGATTGCATTGTGTCTTGTTGCAGATGATGTGGTTCTGTTGGAGTCATCACTCAGCGACCTTCAGCACTCGTTGGGTCGGTTTGAGGAATGAGGATCAGCACTAAATCTAAATCTGAGGACATAGTTCCCAGCAGGAAAGAGATGGACTGTCCACTCCGAGTTGGGAATGAGTTCTTACCCCAAATGAAGGAGTTCAAGGCTTGTATTTGAGTGAGTGGAGCGTGAGATGGGCCGGAGAATCAAAGCAGCTTGAGCTTTCTGGTGATGAAGAGAAAGCTGAGCCAGAAAGCAAAACTCTCAATCTAGCAGTCCGTCTTCATTCCTACTCTCACTTATGTTCATGAAGTTTGGGTCATGACCGAAAGAACAAGAAGAAGTGCAGTCATCCGGGAGGTCCCTACTACGACCCCGGATAAGCGGTTGACGACCGTATGGATGTTTTTAATCGCATTTAAACGCCCTTTTATTATTCATTTATTTTGCACCTTATCTCAATGCTTTTTATGTTTTGTGCTGAGCGCTCTGAATTGCCTTGTTGATGAAGTGTCAATTAAATGGCGTCCAGTAAACAGTGTCATAAGTTACTTGTAATACCTTTGGCATTTTTATTTTCTTTTAAATGTTACTGTACGTCTAAGATCTCCAACATTGTCTGTATACAGAGTTGATATTGTATAATACAAGCTTTTTGTTTGAGATGGAAAAAACATGTCTAGGTAAAGTGGTGTCTTTGCAAAAGCTGGCACTCATTGTGTGATGAATCATTTGTCTCTGAGAACTTGCTTTCAAAGGAACTACAGACACTGGCCAAAAACAAGATTAAAGGTTCATTATTTGGTGAGTTTTCTGTCAAGGATCAAACTTTTACCTTTGTGTGAAGTTTGGCAATCTGTTTCTCGTCCACATCGGGTTGCTTGTAGACTCTGCTCTTGTAGCGGAACTGTTGAGCAAACAACAAGTTATTAATACAAAAAATATGGGTCCAACAGAGATTACAATAAGGCTGATTATTTTACTCCTCTGGGTGCGTGTTGAAAGATATTTTTCCATACATATAGAGGATTGCTAGGGGATCAAGATGTGTCCTTTTCATGGCGCATTCATTTATTTTACTGTACCCTCACTGACTTTCAATCTTTGAGGGTGTTTGAAGGAATGTATAATTAAAAAATATTTCATTTGTCAATATTTGATGGATCTTTTCACTTATTTTTTATTTCAACATCACTTTAACGGCTTTCCCGCAGGTAGGTATCCAGTATTATTCGTCCTTCAGAAGGCTTTAACTTTTAAAAACAAACAGACCTGAATATTAACCGATGAAAAACACAAATCAATTTTAGATAAATAAAACAAAACAGTGTTTGCCCAGTGGACACAGGATAAAGAGCTAAAGTTTGCTTAGAGGGAACTTTGGGATTTCCGCAGACCATTGACATGAACAAAAACTATATGGCACACTACAGGAGAGGGAAAACCGCAAAAAGGTCCCCTTTGGAAATGAAGTACCAGATCCAACATTTGTTCAGATCATTTTAAGACCCTTCAAAAATATATATCTACCTGTAACACAAGCTATATTTACACTCAACTGATATATTGACTTAATTCATATCAGATAATTAAGTGATAAATCTGAGGACATGGTTCCCAGCAGGAAAGAGATAATTATCTTGAGAAATGAAAAAATCCTGGTGTACAATCAAATAATATTGACATGAGTTTGGACATATTAATGGATACTAAAGTAGTTTATGCAACAAGTCACTTTGCATTTTTTAGTATATTTGATTCTTTCACTACTAATTTGAGGAATAATCTAACTGGTCAATAGTTTACCTCCAGGGATGGGACCCCCTTGGTGATTGGCTGAGGGTACTCTCTGAAAACGCGCTCTTCTTCCAGGAACTTCCCGTCCCTCCCATTGCTGGCCGGCTGGAAAAGCCCATAGTTGAGCACGTCTTTGAGGGTCTGATTCAGCGTGCACAGGATCCGCTGCTTTGCGACCCAAATGGTCGCATCCGGGTTGAACCGCATGCATTTCTGAATAGGAGAAATGATGGAAAGACAAATTGATCAAAAAGAAATGGCTTGAGTGTTGGCTGACAGTCTCGAGTCACAACAAAGGAAAGAAAAATACTTAATTAGGGAACTGGACTTTCAGACTGTGATTGACGGATACAAATGGTTGGGTTAGAGCAAATAATGGAATAACAGAACAATGGCGTACAATAACTATGGAAGCCTGTTTGCACCACAGGAAACAAAATATCCTGTCAGTCAATATATTGACTTAGCTATCTCAATATTATTGACTTACTATCTCAATATATTGACTTAGCTATCTCAATATATTGACTTACTATCTCAATATATTGACTTAGCTATCTCAATATATTGACTTAGCTATCTCAATATATTGACTTATCTATCTCAATATATTGACTTACTATCTCAATATATTGACTTAGCTATCTCAATATATTGACTTAGCTATCTCAATATATTGACTTAGCTATCTCAATATATTGACTTAGCTATCTCAATATATTGACTTAGCTATCTCAATATATTGACTTAGCTATCTCAATATATTGACTTAGCTATCTCATTATATTGAGTTATATATTTTTTTATTGAATCAATTATGTCAAATGCAGAATAAGGCACATAGACATCAATGTTCATCATATAAGCGGTACAACTTCATATTAAGGTACACAAATTAACCATCAACTAGTTGTTAATTAACATGCATATTAGCAGTATATTGGCTTTTTATTAGTCATTATAAAACACTTATTAATGCCTTATATGCATGTTAATTAACAACTGGTTGATGGTTAATTTGTGTACCTTAATATGAAGTTGTACCGCTTATATGATGAATATTGATGTCAATGTGCCCTATTCTGTATTTGACATAATTGTTTCAATAAAAAAATATATATATATAACTCAATATATTGAGACAGATAAGTCAATATATTGAGACAGTAAATCAATATACTGAGACAGATAAGTCAATATATTAAGACAGATAAGTCAATATATTGAGACAGTAAGTCAATATATTGAGACAGATAAGTCAATATATTGAGATAGTAAGTCAATATATTGAGATAGTAAGTCAATATATTGAGACAGTAAGTCAATATATTGAGACAGTAAGTCAATATATTGAGACAGTAAGTCAATATATTGAGACAATAAGTCAATATATTGAGACAGTAAGTCAATATATTGAGACAATAAGTCAATATATTGAGACAATAAGTCAATATATTGAGACAGTAAGTCAATATATTGAGACAATAAGTCAATATATTGAGACAGTAAGTCAATATATTGAGACAGTAAGTCAATATATTGAGACAGTAAGTCAATATATTGAGACAGTAAGTCAATATATTGAGATAGCTAAGTCAATATATTGACTTACAGGATTTTTTCCTGTGGCGCAAACAGGCTTCCATAGTAGTTCAGAGAGATTGAAATTGGTGCTTTAATAACACAAACCCTGTTCCAGTTAAATAAACCACGTAACCCTGCCAAGCCTTTTGATTGTTTATTGTCACCGTGCAACATGCATAACAGGGCCACTGCAATCACTGAGGATGTAATTGACACGACCCCTTGCGCCCTTCCCAATCCAATCCTTTCTTCAGGGAGAAAACACACAATGCAGAATCTCTGGCCCCGGTCTGATTCAGCGAGGATTATGGGCTCTGTGCCGTGGCATTTGGGAAGTGTGTGTTCGTGTTTACAGCAGGACGCGCTGCTCAGCCGGTGATAGCAGTCCTGCGTCGGCGATAAAGGCTGAAGGGATGAGCCGTCTGTGAACTCTTCGTAATCCTCCCGCCTGGCGACGAGTGGCACAGGAGGGGAGAGGAAGGGAGGATGAAGGTTGAAGGTATACAGAAGCAGATGTCTGGCATCTGGCAGGGCTGTTCAGACTGATAGGGTCTTCCTACAGTATATTCTGCTGGTTTATAACAGTGGCACATTTCCATAAGCTGCAGCTCAACTTATATAATGTGTATGAAGTTCTTTTTGTATTAGTCAATTTATTGAACATGTCAGAAACAAAAGAATCAACAATAATAATTAAAATAATTATAATAATATAAAAACACTTTCAAGGTACATAACAAATTCAATGGAAATGATCAAATAGTCTCCGTCATGTTCAACAGCGGCAAGAAGAAGCTTATAAACGTCTCTGGTCCCCCTCAAGCGTACATTTTTCTTGAAAATAAAATATTAGGTCATCGTCATCTGCATCCGTGATATTGGATTCATTGTTTTAAACAAATAATTTTCTTTGTACAAAACAAGCAAAAATAAATAACTTTTACAATGACAAGAAATAACAAGCATGAGTTCACAGGTCCTGCTCAGAACCATTCAGGATTTGGTTTCTAAATAATAGCTTTGGTTTAGATAAACTTGCACAGTATTTCAGCTCATCATTACAGTTATTCCACGGATCAACACCTTTTGTTGTGATGCAATGAAGTTTGGGAATTAGTTCGTAAGTTTTCAAAGTACTGGAGTCAAATTGAAATAGAGTAGAGGTTATGATAATGGCACATGTGTGCAGAGGGATCAAAGATGACTCCAACCCAAGACCCAGGGGAGCACATGCAAAGGGCTTTGGTATTATTTTTTAAAAGTTTGTTATCAATAGAGCGTGAACACATCAATGACCTATGAGCAATTTCTTATGGGAATAAGACCCAGGAAGAACTTTCCTGGTACATTTGTCCAGTTTAATGAAGAAGAGTTTATTTTCCATTGTGAAAAACACATCTCTGTTGACATGGTCCAGTTTTGGGCGATTTAATGTAAACTTTAAGCAATTAGCTGTTAGCATACGGCAGAAAGGGCTAAATGACAGAGCTAACAGCTAATGCTAATACAGGTTCTAGTGAACTACACTACAATATGTTTAAGCTATTTTCACATTTGATATTGTACAATATTGTGTTTGGTGAGAAACTTAAATAGATACTGAGTTGTACTAACAGCGATTCAAAATAGAGATTACAAAGAACTGTGACCTGTTTATCTCTTAACTTCTTAATTTTAACACATTATTAGAAATACTAATTCCAAGATCTTTTTTGTAATCAAAGCAAATATTTAAATAACATGTAATACATTATTTCCTGATAACTTGAATTGTGTGTTTTTAATGCAAATAACCACTATAGATGATAATAACAACGGAAAAGAGTAACATTAGGAACTTTGTGACATTACATACTTACTTTAGGACAGTCCAAACTCATTTCTGGGCCAGTTTCAGGACTTTTGGTAAAATAAGTCTGAAGCCCTGCATTTCTAAATTCTGTCCTAATTCTTGGATACCATAGGTCTTGTTGAACCCTGTTCATTATCGCAGAAGTGTTGTTCTTAATATTACAAAATAAAAGCATGTGGCTACCAGTGACAACATAAGAGCATCTACTGTAGTACAAGCAGTTTTCCGTGGATTAATTAGTGTTCAAATTCAAAACAACTTTATAAATCCCCCAGGTGGCAATTAGTTACTACAAGGAGCCTGTACACAAAGAAACACAGAAACAAACAACAACATACAAACAAACAGATACATTGAGGAGAGAAAATGTTGTACGAAATAGAATCTTCTTTAGTTGATAAATTGAATAGCTTTACAGGAGAAGTTCAGGACTAAGAAGGAATACATTTTTCATCTTCGTCTGACTTGATGTCGGCAATTTTGTTCAACCGGCCACATTGGCTCATCCTCAGCGTGTGATAATTGAAACTAGAAACATAAGTGGCTTTCCATTTTTCTAAAACCCTCCAAACGTGGTCCAAGATCCAATTTAGAAAAGCTAGCTTGCTTGTCGGACCTCAAGTCTGCCTTTGTGTCCAATCTTTGAATTATTACCCAAATGAGCTGTGAGAAGATGGTCTCTCCATCTGGAGGTAAGAGCATGAAATCAGAGGGGAGATGGATGAAATAGATTGAGAAATAAGCGGTTATATTTTAGGAGGACAGTTTGAAGATTGTTGAAGAAGAAATACAGAAGAGGACCGCCGTTACAGCTGCCACCATCTTTCATTTCAAGGCTCCATATAACAGATTCAGAATGTGAGCAGAAAATAAGTTCAAGGAAAGGTACAACATTCTGTGAAATAGTTTGCTTTTTTTGTCAAGATTTAAAGAAGACTTTCAGTAAAGGTTTCAAGAGATTTAGAGCCAGGAAATGATTTACTTAGCTTAGCATTAAGACTGAAAGCATGAAGCGAGTATGGCTTTGTTGAAAGTTCCTAACACCTTTAAAGCTACACCAAATTAAAACGTATTACTCTACATCAGTGTTTCTCAAACTTTTTCATACCAAGGACCACTTAACCAATAAAAAACACTCGCGGACCACCTAACTCCACAAATATCCAAAAACACATCGTTTTTTACAAATCGCCTGAAAATGGTACAAACAAGTGGCAACATGTGTGATGAAGGTGTTCATCTGGGCTATATCATGCAATCGAAAGTGAAACTTAATCTCGTTCCATTGTGGAAATACATTTATTTATTTCAAATGTGACATTTTACCAATATACTCACGGACCACTAGGGGGCGCTCACGGACCACCAGTGGTCCGCGGACCACACTTTGAGAAGCACTACATTAAACCAAAAGTTGCTGTTTTTACATGCAGGTCGGTACAGATGGAAACATTAGACACAAAGTTTGGATTTGATTGAACTTTAAAGCTGTCAGTAACTTTCGACAAAGCCATATTAACTTCCAGCTTAGTGGTAAAGCTAAGCAAAGCTAAGCTAATCATCTCCTGGCTCAAAATCTGTGCACATCAAAATGAAAGTGTTACCGTTCATACATTTGTTAGGATGACATTAATAAGAAATCATTTATTAATATTGTGTTTTAGATGTGTAGCATGCTGTTCTTTAACATTGGGCAGAGTACATACATCCTCCATTTTTATATATGTTCTTTTTTACAACATGTACAAGAGTCAGGCTTTCCCTTCCTTCAAGTGTT